ATGTAGACACCGTTGGGATCAGTTATGGAGTTTGCCAGATATTAACAAAAAATTTGAACTTACAGTCATGTTTTCCATTTATAATGCGACAATATTAATTTAACAACATTAATTCACACTTAATTCAATAACTGTTTGTTAAATGTTTAAAATGTCAGTAAATGTATTAAAAATATATGTACAATTGGTGTTTATGCTACATGCTTCAACCACATAGGGCTGTCTTCATGCAACACTACTTTTAAAGGAGTCAACTGCACTTGGTCAATAGTATTCATTAAGGGCTGATGTTATTGTTATTATTAACTTTTTTGTATTCTGATGTTGTTGGATTTTCTTCCTATCTTATATATTGTGGCTGTTTTCGTGTTGAAGAAGTTAATAATAGACGATGTGCCTTAATGAATACTATTGACCAAATGCACAGTGCAGTAGACTCCTTTAAAAGAAGTGTTGCATGAAGATGGCCCTATGCGGCTGAAGCATGTACCATAAACACCAAATGTACATATACGTAGGTCATACTGAAAGTCATGAGCAACAATTTTTTCTAAAGTAGCATGCTTTATTATTGACAAACCAAATACACCACCTCAATCTACAGACCTTTCTTTATTTTTCCACATAATCGCCACTTCTTTGTACACATTTCTCCCAGCATTCTGGGAGTCCGAAAATTCCCCTTCTCTAAAATTCCGTCCCAGCCATCTGAAGACACTGACGCACTGCTTTTTTTAATTCAGCATGTGTATGGAAGTGTGTGCATGGGTGCGAGCAGTGTTCGAAGATGGGTCAAACATTTTAAAGATGGGAACACCAGCATCGAAGATGAGCCTCGGAGCGGTCGTCCTTGAACAGCCTCAACTGAACGCAGCAAGGAAAGAGTGGATGAGATCATTCAATATGACAGGCATGTGACTGTGGACACAGTAGCCTGAAAACTTGGAATAGAGCACAGTGCAGTACAGGAGATGATTGAAAGCTTGGGCTATAGCAAAGTTTGTGCTCGTTGGGTCCCGCGGTTATTGACTGAAGACCACAAAGGTCACATTGGAAGCAATTGCAAAGATGGGGTGGGAAGTTCTTCCACACCCTTCCTATAGCCCTGATCTGGTACCCTCCGACTACCATCTTTTCGGATTTGTGAAGGGTCAGCTGCGTGGACGTTTTGAGACAAGGGAGGCAATTCAGAAAGCAGTGCGTCAGTGTCTTCGGATGGCTGGAACAGAATTTTACAGAAGGTGAATTTTCAAACTCCCAGAATGCTGGGAGAAACGTGTACAAAGAAGTGGCGATTATGTGGAAAAATAAAGAAAGGTCTGTAGATTGAGGTGGTGTATTTGGTTTATCAATAATAAAGCATGTTACTTTACAAAAAATTGTTTCTCATGACTTTCAGAATGACCCTCATATTTTAATACATTTACTGACAGTTTAAACATTCAACAAACAATTATTTAATTAAGTGTGAATTAATGTTGGTAAATTAATATTGCATTATAGAGAGAAGAGAAGAATATAACTTATACGTCAATGCAACAGGATACTGAAATATAATATTAGAAAATTTGAACATTCACCGCTTAGCTCATTCATCACAGCAACACTCCTGCCCACACTTTCCTGAAAACCACAGTGTTTATGACTAACAACAGCATGGTTATCATTCCCCATCCTCCATACTTGCTGGACTTAGCCCCCTGTGATTTCACTTTGTTTCCAAAATTGAGAATGAAACTGAAAGGATGACGTTTTGAAACAGTGTCTGACGTCCAAAGAGAATTGCAAATGTCACTTGACAGCATTAAGGAAAATGTTTTCCATGGTGCTTTTGAAACTTGGAAGAAATGACAGGATTGCTATATACATTCCAAAGGTGACTACTTTGAAGGAGATGGCAGCCAAAACTGAGTAAGATAATCCAGAATTTCTTTTTTTTACCTAGTCCATGAACTTTCCGTTACAACTCATACATGTGTCCTGTTCTGAATGTTCTCCAAGATAGAGTTGTTTCACTGTACAGTAGTACATCAAAATATACTCAGATGAGCCACACGCCATATCCTCACTTGAGCTGCAAAGTGCATTGATGTTGACGGTGGAATTTTAAAAAATGTATTATACTAGGTAAACTGAACTAACTTTTTCACTTAAACAATAAATACTGGCATTAGAAACAGTACTTAATATCTCTTTCTTATCAACAATGAGGACTGGGTTCATACATGTCAGGAAGGGGATCATGTGGAGGCTTTTCTGAATACAATGAATGCTTGGCTTCCATGGAAGACAGGGATTTCCCTCACAGGAGGAATGACTATTGGCTTGTGGAGAAGAGCTCCAGTGCTCGCAATGCAGTGATTTTTATCTTCTACTGATTTTCATGTAGCCAAATATTATTTCCTGAAAAGTAAAATCTTGAGCAGTTTCAAGCTGTGTAATGTCTTTCCATACTTGACATGTGAGATGATAAACTAATTTTACGTTAAATCATGGCAGCATAGTTCGAGTCTTGCTGAAGGTGCACAGTACAGTACAGTATAGTACAGTGGAAACCCTCATATATTAATTCGTTGGGGATTGATGGGTTTTGAACACTGGCTGAAGAAGCCCTTAAACTGAGGAAATTTAGGACTGAGATTATTGACTTGGGGTCATTTAAACTGAATGTTAAAGGAACGAAATCTTCAGTTGGGGTTCGACTATATGTATTGTTAAAGTTATATTCTTAGTATTGGTATTGAAAACTCGTTCATTACAACCTTTTCAGTTTGACGTAGTGCGAAATGTTTGTAATGGAAGTGTACCACATTACATGTAATGAGCGACCACAGTGATGATTTGATAAGGACTTGGTGATTTTACAGATCTCAGCAGATGTAGTG